AAAAAGCATAACATTAAAAACAAATTTCCATAGTCCATAGACCAAAGCAGATCCGAAATTTCTGTCAATGACATTTTTATTTAATATTTAATTATTTCACAAAGCAATATAGTTGCCGACATAGGGTATGGGATACGATTTAATGAAATAAAGTATTTTAATAACAAAAAAAAAAGCATCATATGAGACATTATTGCCTGCTTGCCTTCCGTAAATTCGATATGCCTTTCAAAAGCATAGCATCATTTCTGCGAATCTCACATTTCCAATGCGCGTGCCATTGAAAGACGATATGAGACATCCATAGATATTTAATCGATAGAACTGCATTTGAAGAATGTTTGAATTGGTAATTAAAGAAGTAAGAAAAATAAGAATGAGATTGAGTCAAAATTCAGGTCAATTGGAAGATAAAGGAGAGGTATTGTGTCTGAAGCGACACTTCTCCCCCATCCCCTACTGCCTCATCATCATCATAATGGTCGAGCAAATAATAATAGATAGTAAGGTGTGCATTGACAATAAGAAAAATTTGATGATGAGAATTCACGGTTCTACACAATACAATTGAGTCTAAGTTGAAACATACACAAAAAAAAGTGTGTGCTGTGTGTGAAAAAAGGAGAATGAAAAAGAACAATAAACCAATCACGATGAAGAGCTCGGTGCCTCAAAAACGATTGCGCAAATGGGGAAAAAAATCTTCTTTTTTTTTGTATGTCGACGGCATTGATACAATGGCGATTCAATTTTGGAATTGCCGCTTCAATAAGAAGAAGATGAAATTCTTTTATTGATTTTTTCTCTGCCTGACTCATTCTCCCTATAGCTTTCACATAGAATTGCTCCAAAAATTATTCCGTCACATAAGAAGCTTCCGGTCTCTATTTGAATGCAATGCGGGTGAATTTATATTAATTCTATGATACACGAGATGATGAATCTTATTTCCATTGTTGTGATTTGTGAATGAATAAGTAAGCAAGTAAGTAAGCTGAATGGATATAAAAATAAAGTTCTCGAGTGGATGATAAGATATCAAAGACTGCACAAAAGTTCGTAGCTGAATTTAATTAAATTTACAAATTTAAAACTGACAAAAATTCAATTTATGCACGCTACGCTTACCTGCTTCTGTAGCTGTACAACATGAAAGATTTAATATTGATTTCTATTTAATTGTTGTCATCGTAACACATTTTGTGTGCTAGCTGTACTCATGTAGATTGTATAATTTTGCCAACCTTACAGGAGATTTAATATCGACATGCTAAAGGAGATTAAATTGTTTCTATATACTTTTTTATTGCTTTTTTTTCTACCTTGTCTGTTGCCTGCCAACTTCTTTCACTCGATTTGTTATGGAATAAAGAGAAGAGAAAAATCAGTGACTTATTTTGGTTAATGAGCTTGAAGCGCATTTAAGGAAGAAGTCGCTGTAAGTCTAAAGTCTTACTTCCTTACTCCCTTGGCTGTACAAACTTTCTTCCAGTTTGGGATTCTCATTTTTACCTTTCTGGTCTTAAATTTTCAAACACTAACAGTTCTTTAGACTTATCGGGGCTCCTTCCTTAACTAAGACTGAGTTCTTCATAGGAATAGTGAAGTGGGGAGAAGGTATGACAAGTTCATACTTTAAAGCTAGTATAACTGATTCTTATAGTCTATTCCCGAATGGCACAAGTCGGTTAATCGATCAGAAATCCGGCACCGAGCTTGTGTGACTCTTGCATGGTGCTGGATTTAAATGGTTTGGCGCCACATTTCAATTCGAAATTGTGTACGAAAATGAATTTCTAGAAATTAAGCAAACATCAATAAACCTTGCCTTAATAATCATGAAGAATAGCTTCGAATTTCAATCAGTATTGCATCGTGCAACAAGTCAATAAGACTATTGATTTTGAAATTATTAGAATATTTTCTAATTAAATTGACACGAGAATGTATTCAGAAGGTTTTGACAGACATTCCATTGATAAGAAAATTGAAAGTTTCATTTTTCTAGTTCAACAAAGAATTTTCAATTTAGCTGGAAATGTAGCAGAAAAAATATATTTTCTTGCCTTTTTATTTTGTAATTTTTGAAGGTGTTTTATAGGATTTGAAAGAAATAGAGGGTAAACGAAAGTCGAGGGACATAAAATCCTTGAAAATTAATGCCAAACACTATTACAAGAAGCATGAAAATAAAACTCTTATTTTACGCTCCATGAATCTAATAGAAAATTTTTGCTAATTATAAACTTGTGATGTAAAGTTCCTTTGAAGAATTTTTCCACAGTTCTCGCATGGAAATGTCTTTTGATGCAGTTAAAAATTTTACAATGTGAAAAAGAGCACAATGCAGTGTACAAAGTACAATTTAATCTAATTATGATGCATGAACAAATGTTAAGTTCACTTTTATCACGGGAATGTATGTTCAGGAATGTAAGTCTGTATGTGCCTGAAGATTCTTTTTGCTCATTTGCTGAAATTCTGCAAAATAGGAACTTTTAAAGCAGAAATATTGACTGGATTCCATTGAGAAGTTTAACTTTTTGCATCAATTGAAGCAAGTTTTTTGCATCTTTAGAAGTGAAGTTTCGCATCTTTTGAAGCAGAAGTTTCGCATCTTTTGTAGCAAAAGTTTCGCATCTTTTGAAGCAGTAGTTTCGCATTTTCTGAAGCAAAAGTTTCGCATCTTCTGAAGCAAAAGTTTCACGTCTTTAAAGTTAAAAAGTTTAAATTGATTCAAAAAATACAAGTCATTTAAGAAGCCAGTTCCTTAATTATCATCAAAATGCTTTCCCAACTCTCAAGTCAAAAAAACATCAAAAGTAAATAATTTCAAACTATTTCACAGAACAGATTGTTATGCTACTCCTTTACAACCTTTAATGCATGCATGTATTTAGCTACATGAAATCTGCTAATTTATATTGTATTATATTCACATATTTTTTGCCATAACTTCATTGCACTTAAAAAATTGACGGCTTTGTTTCCAGACGTTCTCATTTCGAGTACTCTTCAGAAGCTAGAGAATTCCTTTTGTGCTGTTTTCCATGGCTTATATAAAGATTTTTTTTTTTTTTTCGTTTACAGTTAAAAGAATTTGAAATTCTTTTTAACAAAAAGTCGTGGAAGGGTCATGCGATAAAAGCTTATCATATATTTTATTCGGAATAAAGGAACAATGCAAGGCATGATTTTCGTTTAACAGCTTTTTAAAAGTTCGTGCAAGGTCAATGAATTTTATTAAAATGCAAAATGAGGTTGTAAAAGTTTTTGAACAACAACCTTTAAGTTGCAACTTAAATAAGTTAAGAATGTATTGTTGGATTATCAAAAAGAAAAGTGAAAGGAGCTAGAATTATTTCCAGATAGTGCGCTAAGATTTTGGAACTCAATCTAAACTGAATTTGTTAATAAGCTAATATTTTGACAAACTTAATAGACCCAACTGACTTTAAACCATACTCAAGTTTGATCAGAAATAATCAATATGATTAATCTTTAAGGTCAGTTCCGCATCATTGGTCATATTTTACAATACTCATTATTGGATAACTTGGACCCTAATATGTATAAGCACTTCAACAACGTGAGACTTAATTTTACTTTATGCCTTTTTAGATGACTTGGACATTAAATATTCAATGTAAACAAGTTTACTTTAGTTTTAGTTGTTAACGACCAGCTTAGATCACTATTGTTTTTACAGCCTTGTTTGTAGAGGTTAGCCGCTTAGCGATTAAACTGATCATGAATTACTTAACTTTCATTACTAAAGTTTTATTTGTTTTTTCAAGTTTAGTTCATTACATTCAGCAGTAAGCTTAAACATCAGAATTAATTATTGGATTTGAATGTAGCTAATGCCATCCATAATTTGCATATTCTATTCAATTGAATCCCACACAAAAAAGTCCCTCCACTCGACAATCAGCTTGTCGTAATTTAACAAACAAAAAAAATGGTAACTTACAGCCAAAAAAGAAGAAGATGAGCTGAAAATCCTTCAAAATTGGCGTTTAAAATAAATTTTTTGAAGCACAACATTGCTATAGCATCCATCAATCAAGAAGAAACGAAAATGTTTACCTAAGCACTAAGCAGATGAGCTTTAGTCTGTAAGTCTCACGTAATCAGTAATTTAAATAAATAATTATTCAACACTTTAGACTTTTTTTTTGTTTTTGCTATTTATTTATTTTAATTTTATTGTTCGGCATTTATTTTTCGTCAAGCAATTAACGTGTGAATAGGCACTCAAAAGGCATAAAATAAAATGAGAAAAATTTCTCACACAGAAAAAATAAGAAGTTGTAAAGTCATTGGATTAAAAATAAATCGCTGCAGGCCACAAGCCACTGAAGTGAAACACACTTCTAGGAGGAACTGTTTCTTGCCTATGCTATTAAGAAGTTGCAAATTAAACTACAATTAACGAGTGAATGAACAAGGTGGGATAATTTTTTTTATGATTCCTTAAACGTGTCCTTCCTGTACCAAAAAAAAAAAGACGCACATATAAGGAAGTTATTGTATTGTGTCGTAGACCGCCTGCTAGCACCTCCTCGCTGCAGGATCTTTCCCTTTCTTAAGCATTTTCTCACATCTCGTCTTGATTCTGACTGCAATGTTCATTTCGTCAAATTTACTACCGAATATTATGATTTACAAGCATAAGTGCATGCATATGATGAGAAGATTCATTCAATTAGAAGAGAAATAATGATGATGGAGGCATTTGATTAAGTCAGTAAAAGAATCAACATGAAGCACTTGAAGATGAATTTTTATTCTTTTGTTGAATTTATGCTCATTGGATAGTTTCTTATATGCCTCTGTCCATGTATCGTTCCATTACAATTAATCTCGTGAGAATGAAAAATAAAAAGATTGATTTTTTTTTCACTGTAATTTTATTCAAATTAAAACTGCTGTCGTGCCTAAAGATTATTAACAAAATTAAATTGATTGTATAAACTGTACAATTTTCATTAGACTTTGGCTGGTGAGTCTATTGTTCCAAGAGAGGTCTTGCTGCTCCTTGAAGTAAACAGTAGGTCTCGCAGAATGTGGAATCATTGAATCTGTTTGTGTTACCACCGCATCCGTAGTATTGGAACTAGGTTTTTAAAAAGAAAAGAAAGAAAATTGAATATTTTGGTTCAAGTCTTGTTAAAGGTTTTTAGGGTTTTGGTATGAACTGGACGAATGTTTGTTGGAATGGCGGTAGTCTGGTATGAACATTTAATAACTGTGTTGTATAGATTTCAGTATCAATTCCAGTTGAATTATAGAAATTTACAGTCAGGATTTAGATAATCCCCTTTGTCTCCTCCCTTGATACTCTTCTCTTGGTGCTGAGTCAAAAGATTACCTCTTATTTCGAGCCTTTCTTATTTTTAGATTCTATTCTAAAGTGTATTTCGATGGAAGTTCTGTCAATTAAATTCTGCATCAAATTTGAAACGTTAGCTTTTATTCGATTTGGTATTTAAATGCCCAAAATGACATTTACTTGTTTGTCATTTCGTGACTTAATGAAATTTTCAGCTTTTAGTCATGTTTCATGAAAATTTGCATTTTTAATTGTCACGATTTTGATCCAGTTTTGGCATTTTCTTGAATTTTACTAGATTTCACTCTAGTTTAGGTCCCTTGCAGGCATTAAACTATTTGAGTAGAAAATTCTAGTGACGACTGAAAACTATTCGACACTGGCGCGTTCCTAAAAGCCACTTGTAAGTATCGTGATCATTTCATTCCATGAATGACTTTTTAATTTAGTAGGTCGGTCGGTAAACTGATTTAAAGCATTCGATGGATCACGATTTTTAAAAGGCTCACAAGCTATCAACAAGGAGAAGACACTACACGAAAATCAACTGAGTTTTTATAATCCCAAATGACACAAATGCTCCATTTTGTAAGCCATCCAAGGACGGAGCTCATACATATTCTTCCTACTTTGTGTTGCTCGGGAACGTAAGCCACTAAGCACTATCAGTTCCATTTTTTATTCATTTGATCCTTGAGTTATAACCACAAAGTCTGTACTGAATACATTGAATAGCTTTTACTTACTGGATAACACATGGAGTCTTCAATTACGAAATAATAAGCTGTTTCAGAATCTGCACTGCTGCCCATTTCTCCACTACTGCCCATCTCTGAACTGCAGCTATAACCATTATCAGGTGGTAAGGAACAGTCATGCGCTAAATTGAATTTAATTTTAGTTTACTTTTTTTTTGTCAAAAATACATCGACTTCCAAGAAGTTAAGCACATAGTCATAGCAATAAGATTCTTACAGTGATCTCCACCACCAGACATGACGATATGAACCAATCCTAAGGCACAAGCAAGGAAGACTAGAACGTAACTCGATTTCATTTTAAACACTAGCGGAGTTGTGACTTCACAGAACAGAAAATAAGCACTGATATCAAGTAAATGAACGGCTCAGTCCTTTTATAATGGTCACTGTAAAATAAAACCTTATCAAAAAGTTTCATATTAAGTCGTGTTCCACGAAACAAATAGTTTAATAACTTTGTTGGACATAAAAAAAAATTTATTATTTTATTCATGCAAAAAAATGAAGCTCATAAAAAGTTTTGGGTCTGCAATTTTGATGGCTTTCAAAAGCCCATATGCATTAATTCTTATCAATTATTTTCGTTTCACTCAAAAAGCATCGTTCATCCTTCAATTCCGTTAATTTATTTGTTTTTTCTACGCTCATATTTGCCCAAAAATAAAAACTACGTACATGTTGACAATAAAGTACACACAAGTAATATGACGTATGGATGGAAAAAAATGCAACCGTGCTCAAATGTAAAAGAATAGAGTAAAAAATTTTTATGCTGCTTCAAGTGGCACTTGAAAGCCCTCTGCTTTTTTTTACCAGGACATGAATAAAGCTATATATTGAGAGAGAATGAGCAAAAAAAAAAGAGGGTTGAGCGAAAAGACCATATGCAGCACCAGCATTCTGTGACAGCATACAAATATACATAGCAATATGTAGCATAAAATTATTTCATCTGAAATATTGACATTCGCACCGTGTGCTTGGTCTATGTGCTCTGCTTTTTATGGGATTACTCATTTACTTAGGCATTGGATGAGCTGAAGTGGCTCAATGGAGGAATAGTTTAGTGCTCTGGTACCTAATTATTACAATATCGACACAATAATCGTGGGTTCGATTCTTGGAATGGGAAATATTTAAATTGAACCATAAAAACTTCAAATGAAGCTCAAAGTCTTCCTTTGTAAGGTACAGAAAGAAATGTCATCAAGTAAATGATTTGGATCTCACTATGAGCTGAAGGTTCCAGGCAATGATCAAAAATGCTTCAATTATAACCAAACATCATTGATAAACAGCCTCTGAATGGATTAAACAATTCAACATATCCAAGAGGCTTTAGCTCGTCAATATCAAGAACAAAATGAATCTAAAAACGGTCCGAACAATTTAATTCTCCCAACATCCCTCCGAACATTCCTTGATTGATGCAATTGTGTTTTAAGCAAGCAAAAAGGAGAAAATGTTCTGTTCTTACACAAATCAAATGTCTAACATCTCTATAGAAATAAACATTTCAAAGTAATTGAAAGCTAAGTAATGGAATTGATCACGAAAAAAAAAATTTGTTAAGAGCATTTTTAACGTCTCAAATGAGGTACTTAAGAAGCAAATGAAGTAAGAATATGTACGCTGTGATCAATCCAAGATTAAAATCAGTGAGGAATGAAAAATATACGTTAAATGTGTGCCTTTTATTATAATTACTTCAAAAAAAATTCTCTATAAATCAAATCTTAAAGTTAAAATCATTTTTTTCTGTGTTTTAAATCTTTCAAATATTAATTTACAATTACTGACGACTGTAAGCTCCACCATAATTATTTGATGGTGGTCCTTGAACGCGATCTGGACGTGATGAATGATATCGTTGATTTTGTTCTGAATCATAACGTTGATAGCCACCACGATTTGACTGATTACGTCCATGATTTCCACGATCTCCTTGATGTGCCCCGCCACGATCTGAACGCCATTGTGAATATCCACCTCGGGTATTTTGCTGATTATTTGGTGTATATGTCGATGATGTCTGTGCTGATCTTGAAGACTGATATCCTCTTTGTTGCTGTTGTTGTTGCCCTTGGGGAGGTGGAACGCTGCTGTAACTGTTACTGAATCGACTCTGATTCGTTTGATAATTTTGACGGTTCTGTTGCTGATAATTATTTCCACCTGAAAAACCTTGCTGATTGTACGGCTTTCTATAATTGGAATCATTACGATCTGCAAAAGAAAATGAGAACATTAAATAATGAAATAATTGAAGCTGCTTTTTAGAAAGAAATGGAAAGAGAGTAAGTGAAGTGCCACAATTAGGCACCAAAACGGAAACCTTTGTAGTCCAGAAGAGCCATTAAGCTCAACAATCTCAGTAAATTCTTCATTTTCTACATTTGGATTTTTTTATAGCTGAAATTCATTATGTATTTACAGTCAACGTAAATCCATAAAATAGCGAGAGTGAAAAAGGCAACGAGCAAAGCAAAAAGAGCAATGAAATGAATTTTATGCTAACGAGAACACTTAAGCATATTCGACTTAAAATTAATTCTAAATATGCAATGAAAAAACTTGAAAAAATGAGAACTTATACAGCATTAATTAACCATCATTGCGATTTAAATACTTCCGTTTTCAAGTATCAGAAGGAGAGTATCGAAGAATATTTTTGAGAATTTCATTTTCAAAAGAATTAAATTGCAACAGATGTAGAATTGAAATTTATATAGTGATTACCAGGAAATATCTAAGTCTTTTGTTGGATTGAGGAACAAGAAAATTAATAAAATATTGAAATAGGAACAGCAATTATTGATATACTGGGGGTCCTCGATTTGAGTAGTTGTTTTGTTCCAAAAAATTTCTACTCAAATCGAATCTATTCAAATCGAGGCAAAGAATCCATACAAAATTACATGTTTTGTTCCTGAGTCCAAAAAATGTATCAAAACAATGAAAATTTTGATCATTTTTTGCACATTTTACCCAGACTTACGCCACCTTATATTCGAAAAAATTCGAAATGTCTTCGAAATTAATGTCGAAAACTTCGAAATTTGAGACGAAAATTTGAATTTTTATTGACCGTTAAGAAAAATGTAAACAAATCAAAAAATTTAAAATCAAAATCAATGATTTAAGCTTCTTTTAACAATGATTTAACTAAATTAACATAATCTTAATTATGTTTCATCACTATTAAATAGTTCACATTAGAAAAAAGAGCTTCAATTAACAATTAATTAACAAATTTATAATTCGTGAAAAAATTCACTAACACATTTACAACTTTTGTTTACTTTTGATATTTTTGTTCTGAAAATTTTTAAAATCACCAATTCTTGCATTTACTTAAGCATTTTCAGTTCAAAAACATTAATAATATGTCAAAGATTATTTATTTTAAAGAACTAAACAGTTAAAAGCTTCGAATTATGTTGAATAAAGTTTTTTTCCAACGGTTAAAAAAGATTCAAAATATTTAAAAAAAATCGGTAAAACTTCTGAAACTGACAATTATTAACGTGACGTTAGTCTGATTTTACCTCGTTTCTTAACTTTTCTTTTGTGTTTTAGATAACTTAATTTATTTCAACGCATATTCATATTGTTTTTAAACGGAAATTCACAAAAAAAATGTTTTTGAAACAAAACAAAAATATGAGAACCTTGCAAATGTTATTTCACTGAACAATTTGTAAGGTTTTTGAATTTGAACTTTTTAAAATCGTTGATTTTATATCGATTTTTTAAATTTTTACTTTAATTTTGTAACTTTAGTATTGATTTTTCTATCAATATGATAAGTTCACGCTTATCGCAGTAAAATTTATGTTTTAAGATTATTTTCTGAAATGTTTTTATCAAAAATATTTGTTTTGTAAACAATTCAAATCGAAGAAAACAGGAAGAAATCTACTCAAATCGAATATTTTGGTGGGTAATAAATTTTCTGTTCAAATCGAATCTACTCAAATAGAATCTACTCAAATCGAGGACCCCCAGTAATTTATAAGCGTTTTCATCACTCACGATTATGAATGAGTTCCTTATTCGATTAAATTTGAACTCATTTAAGATTCTTGATATTATTTTTCAATTCAAGAACCGTTAAATCAAACATTTGAAAGCCATTAATTTGAATTTTTGAAAACTGTTAAGATTTGAATTTTGGAAAACCGTTAGATTCAAACATTGCATTTTGAATAATTTTGACTAGGTAATTAAAATAATAAAACTTTGCAGCAAAAGAAAATTCTTCATGAAAATTAAACTTTGATTTCTTTTCTACATCATTCGATTCAACAACCTTTCGTACGTGCTCTAGTGTTGAATTTCTTGTCAACTTTGAAGAGGAAGCATGACATAACCTTAATGTGCATCATGTTTAACAATGGGGTATATAATTTTTTTAAAAAAAAAATAAAGCTACTCCTTCATTCCAATTCATTTGTTCCTTTATTCCATTCATTATTCATGCTCCGATCCACGATAAAGAGATGTGACATTCTTGCATTATTATTCATTCTGTACACACACAAAAAATAAGTAAAAAGTCCTAATTAACGATAAAGATAGATCTATACGACAAATAAAAAAGTAGGCAATAATTGGGTACCCAAGTTGTGAAAATTAATTGCATCATGTTCTCAAGTATCCATTCATTCGCATGTGATGTTTTCATGCACAACAATAAAGAAGTAATGTTTTCGCAATGATTAAAGAAAAAGTAAAACGATAGTCATCATGTTGACAGATAAAAGAGCTTTAGATTACTATCCAATTTTTTTTTAAAGTCGGTAAAAAGAGACGAGTTGTTGTTATTCAGTAAATAGTGGGAGGATATAACATCAGATAATCCTCTCAAAAATTATAAGAGCTGTTTTTGGAAAATATTAGAGATTTATTTTAAACATTTTGTCTGATTTTTGAAATTTAACGGTTTTCAAAAATTTAAATTCTGTCAAAAAAATCAAGTTTTCAAAAACCTTTAAAATTTAAATTCTGAAAAGCCGTTAAAATTCAAATCCTCAAGAGCCGTTAAATTTCAAATTTTCAAAAAAAGCTATTAGCATACATTTTAATGGCCCCAAAACTGACATTAAGACAATTACATGACAACACATAAAAATAACAAAATACATCAAGTAAACATCAATAGGACAAAGACATGACAATTCTTTAATAAATATACTTAAAATTGTTTCGTGTTCAATAAACACGATATATCCCATTTCCATAGAAACAGTTGTTTATCGATATATCGCGAAGAAAAAAAAAAGTCCATCACGACTCTCGTTTTGTTTGAATTTATTTTTCCTTTAATTTAAATTTATTTTAAAATAATAAAATTGATTCTTTTGTTTAACATTTTTAATAGTTTAAGAAAAATGAAGCTCCAGAAAATTTATTTACGTTACTTCCCGCCTGGCTTAGCTTTTAATTATACAAGGAACAACAATTCTGAGGAAACAAAGTGCATTGATGTCTTTGACTTGACTATTAAATCTGATTTAGATGTGATTATAAAGCAATTAAGGAAGCGTGAGCCAGCAATATTTACAAAGGATATCTTACCACAGGTGCAAGAATTACTTGAAAAAATGCAACAAAAATTGAATGAGCCAGTCAAGAATAAATTCTATCTTTATAAGACACTCCAAACTCACATCCTACCATTGACAAATGTTGATTTTGATAGATCTGGTCAGAAGTGCATTACGGGAAGTTACGATAGGACATGTCGAATATGGAATGTTGAATCAGGCGATGAAATCAATATTTTAAAAGGACATGAAAATGTCGTGTTCTCAGTTGCATTCAACTATCCAAAATGTGATAAAATTGTGACAGGTTCTTTTGATAAGACAGCAAAAATATGGAGTGTAAGTTCTGGTGCTTGCCTTAATACTTTATGGGGTCATAGTGGTGAAATTGTTGGAGCTGAATTTAATAAAAATAGTGACATGATTTGTACAAGTTCAATGGACGAAACAGCAATTTTATGGTCAACAGAAACAGCACAGGAAATAAAAAGCTTTCGAAAGCACGAAGCGGAAGTGATTTCATGTCATTTCAATGGAAATGGGAATTTATTAATAACTGGAAGTTTCGATGAGACCGCAATGATTTGGGACATACGAGAAAAGGAACCAGTAAGTGTCTTGCGTGGACATGATGCTGAAATCTCAAATTGCATATGGAATGCTGCATACAATCAAATAGCCACATCGTCACTTGATGGTACGGCTAAAATTTGGGATCTAAGAGACACAAAATCTCCACTCTTTACAATGAAGCACAATGACGAGGTACTTGATGTCTGTTTTAACTATACGGGAAAGATAGCAACGTGCAGTAGTGATTGTACAGCAAAAGTATGGAATGAAAATGGTGAATTATTATTGACTTTAGAAGGACATAACGATGAAATTTCAAAAGTCTATTTTAGTCCAAATGGAAGTTTACTTCTCACAGCCTCAGCAGATAAAACCGCACGATTGTGGCATGTCGATAGTGAAACTGAAAATGGATTATGCTTACAAGTCCTTACAGGGCATACAAATGAATTGTTCTCATGCTGCTTCAACTACACAGGAGATGCCATATTGACAGCAAGTAAAGATAATACTTGTAAGCTATACAGATGATTGGAATGGTATATTGATGGATCACAATCAAAGAGGAAATGTAGTGTGTGTATCGAACTTGAAGAGGAATGACGACGTCTTAGCCTTAACAATTTGCCACTTAATAAATGACTTTTTGTTTTGTTGTGCAAGTTTGTTGATTTCTGTCTACATGCTTCTTATGGATCTGTTTATGCTCATTTCGGGGTAATTTTGATGTCTTTGAGACATTTTTAAAGACATTAACATGATTATCTCTTCCTTTTTCAGATTTTAATTAAGTTTCAAGATAGTACAAAGTAATTAGAGATCATTAAGCTTCTTTACATCAGAAATAGTTTAAGAAATTAGTTCATAGCAAATATATTTTTTTGAATACTATATTTGGTTGTTGCTGCTGACATTACAGCATTGAATTATAATTAATCCTAAATTCATCTAAGAAGTTAAGTATTAGAACCTTTTCCTTCGTTATTCCTGGAATGCGCTTTACATACAGTCACTTGCTACTCGAAAATCTTGGCCCAAACTCCCATAAGTAATTTACAACATTTTTGTGCATCAAAAGATTTTTAAATTAGAGAAATGAAAGCAAACAAGACGAGCATTGACTTTCTAATTGATTTTTTACGGCTTTCACGAAAACATCTTTCATGATTTTATCGCCCACATCCATTCAGCACGCTCACATACACACACTTAAAGTTTTGTATGCGAGGAAGAAACTCAAATAAAATTGCAATTATGCAGAATCAAATAAACAACTTATGAGATAACGAGAGAATAATAACAAATAGATTTGCGGAAGTAAGTTAGAAGCTACGGAAGCGCATTTTACTAAATGCAATTAAATTGTGGAAAATAACGTTCAAAAAAGATTTGAAAAATAACAGTCAAAAAATATTAAAATTAACGGTTAAAAATTTGAAATAATAACTGTTTAAAAATCTTTTATGAAGCAGCAGATAGACAAACAAAATGAGAACATTTGCAGCATCAACGAGAATGCGCTAAAATGAGAGTAGGAAAATGTATGTTGTTTCCCTCAAAACTCACTAAGATGACACGTGTCACAATCAAAAATCCTTGTGTAAATTTTTAGGGCATTTTATATCGCCGAATAAAGCCTTAAAATACACATAAACAAATGAATATGAGGCAGGCAGTATCAGCTATGAAAAGAAAAGTAATTATCCTCATCAAATCAATAGAAATACGAAAATTTCACACAATTGTTTGCCCTTCCGTCATCAATTTATTATGATTACATTATGTAGTAGAAATGCAAGTGACGCATGTAATTGGAATATAATGCTGAGGATACGATTGTTGACGTCGATATGACTGAGAATGAAATAAAAATTATCACAAGCAGAAATTATGGATTTTTTTATTTATTATGCATTATGAGAAGTGATTAGAATGTTTGAAAGTATTTTTTGCAGCTTTATATAATTAATATGCAGGAAATTTTGAACTTTATCGAGTCATTTTGGATGAGTAAGTAAGTGACGTGTTAAATGAAAGGTTAAACATCGGATTTAGAGTTTATTTGTTGCTACTTTCAGTTACTCATCTATCTTTTGTGAATTATTACTGACCCTATAAGTGTACAGCAGTGTACAGTGTGACTAATGTTGACATTTTCTGTGAGTTGTCTCAAAAATAAACCGTCATTTTTCAAAACTTATCTTTAGCGGTAATTTTCAAATATTTTTTGTTCGTTATTCAAAAAAAAAATATATATATATATATAAATAATAACAACTGCGCTCATAACAACCAAACTCGCGCAATTACTTCCAAACTTGAATTTACAACTCTTTCCTCATATCCCATTCCGATAAAGAAAATTCAGTTCTCTCGCAAAATGCATCCAATTCAGACGTTATTAATCATATTAAGTTTATTGACAATTTTAAAATTCTCAAGAGTCTTTGCAATATTTGGAGGACGACCAGCAAGAGTGCCTCCATATGATGATCCAGTAGTGTTTATAAATCATGTAGGTCGATTTTCTCGAGTCGAGGGATACTTCAATCCATCAACAGCACTTTACACATTTCGTGGTATTCGATATGCCGAGCCACCAATACGTGAGAATAGATTTATGAGGCCAAACTTGAAGAGACTTAAGGGCGACGTAGATGCACGAAAAAATGCACCGCCTTGTCCTCAACCTGATTATTATGGTAAGCATTATTAGCTTTAAATTCTTTTGAATTTTAATAAAAATTAATTTAGATCCAAGAAAGATCATCGGAGATGAAGACTGTCTAGCTTTAAACATTTTTACACCACAAATGCCTGATGAATCTTCTGGATTACCCGTTATTCTATTCATTCATGGAGGGTAAGAATGTCTCTTAACCAATAATTAAGTTAATTTAATTAAGATTAATCCACATAGAGGATATCGCTACGGATCAGCTTCACAGTATGGCGCAGAACCAATAACACAAGAAAATGTCATTTTTGTGCCTATACAATATAGATTAGGAACATTAGGAATACTAGGGGACGGAACTAGAGATTTTGGAGGAAATGTTGCAATATTTGACATGCATGCAGCACTTAAATGGATTACACAATACATTTCATTTTTTGGAGGTGATAAGAATAAAATTAAAGTTATGGGACATGGATCTGGTGCATCAGCAGCTATGTTCCTTACTAGGTCACCATATGGACGTAGTTCTGTTGATGGAGTTATTGCTATGTCCGGTAGTTCCCTAGATCAATATTCATACCAGGAAGACGGTAAGAATTCAACAGAAGAAATTGCAAATGCACACAATTGTTCGCATGACAATGAAATGAAGCTGCTGCATTGTTTGAGGACAAAATCCATTGATGATATCATCACGAAAGACTCAAATTTACAAATAGAAAGATTACAAAATAAAGATATAGTGAAATCAATGAGTGGAATGGTTGGAACGTCTCCAAATATAGAAAGTAAGGATGACGACCGTGGATTGCCAGGAATTATTACAGAAAATCCAAAGGAATCAATGAAGAAGGAACCAGAAAAGAGAATTCCAATTTTAATTGGATCCACAAAGCATGAAACTGCAAATATTATGAATCCAAAGGAAGTTACAAAGATTTTTGGATCTGCATCTAATTTTCTTAAATTGTCTATGAATGCATTGAAGCTTAATGACTTGCTGAATGTTACAAACAGCAAAGTTTCAAGTGTTTTAGGTTTATTAAGTAAGTAAAGCTAGATTTAATCAAATCTGCTGATTATATTTTTTTGAATTTCAGATATTCCAGCACTAAATGACTATTTGACAGTCCCAGAAAATTTATCACCTGAAAAAATGCTCAACAAGCTTATTGATGTTTCAACAGACATTTTCTTCAACATTCCAATAACTTTAACAGCTAATTTATGGTCTAAATTCGCGCCTGCATTTTTCTATCAATTTGATCATGTTGGAGACTCATCAGGTGGTGGAAAGCATTTTCTCAAGCCACTTCCTTTAGTTTCAAATGGAAATTCGAAAGGATATGTAGCTCATGGAGATGAACTTTCATACCTTTTTGATGCTTATGATGTCTTTGGAAATAGAATTAATGAAACGGAACTGAAATCTCCTCGAGATCAAGAAGCTAGGAAGAATTTTATCAAGACAGTCACACAATTTGCATACATGAATGAGTCAAATAGTCAGATGTCATTAAATGGACAATTGTTGGATATTTTTAAAGCTGATTCTACAAATTTCATCAAAATTTCTGATAAATTGACTTTTGACAAGAATTTTAGAATCTGTGAACTTTCAGTTTTAGGTGCACCGTTCCAAGCAACGCAGAAAATATCTTGTGAATTTTTAGCAGAAGGTTTAAAGAAAATTCCGTTGGTGCCAAAAGTTAATGACATTCTTGGTGGAAGTGGACGTAAACTCGGTTTATTTTAAGAAACTTTGTACTCACCAGAATTTCCTCCTTCAAAATATCTGTTTCCGGTATGATGATTTACAGTTCTTCGTCCAGCATCACCAACACTAGCAAACTGTGATCGATTGTTATTAAAACCAATGTGTGGTCTGTAGTTTGGATTTCCTTCGTCAATTCCTTGTTTTAGTACTTTTGGTGGCTCGATTGCATTTGGCAAACGACGAGCAGGAAAGATAAATCCATCAGCATATTTTGGATCACGATATTTAACTGTAACTACGCGATTATCGAGACAATCATGAAGCCCAGGAATAACTGTCGGGAAAGTTCTGTAAAACAGAAAATATATACTTATTAATCAAATTATAATTAATTGTATTTAACTAATAAAGCTATGTAGAATAACCGTCAAAATAAAATCAATTTGAAAAATTAAGAGCAAAAATAAAAGTTTACGTACCCGCCAATTGAGATGTTTTCCTCGGATAATATAGCAAGTCCTTGCATTCCATCAATAGAAATAGGAAATTCACGTTCAAAATCATTTTCGGTTTCAGAAAACTTCTTCAACAATTGATAATCTTTACATCCAATGCCAACATATAAGCGATCATCACCAAGTTGATTGCGTTTCTCTTCTTCTAAAGTCAGTTCCTTTCTATAAGGATCAACAGCTTTAAACAACCGTTTTTCGTCAACAAATGGCAATAGAGCAACTCCTTGCCATGCAAACTTCTTTCCATTCAAGTCAATTTGAAAATCGTCAGGGTAAAAGTCAATAATTGATGATTTAGGATCAAGCATTAATTTAGCGAATGGAAGTGGAACATGTTGTCTACTAGCAGCTGGAAATACTCCCATCAACTGCTCGAGTGGCTTAAATGGAGTTCCCTTGCTAAACTTCTTACTGATTCCAGTAATATTTACAAAATCAGATGCAAAGCATGCATAATGATATGGGAAATACCATTCCCAACTTGCACAGCCTTGATAATAGTATTGCAAGACCCAGCATAATCCACGAACATATTGTAATGCAACATTATATCGGAACTGAATATTATCAGACATAACATCAAATTTAGATTCATAGTAACGATCCTTAAATCCATCTTCCCATAAACGGACTTCATCGTGTGCTTGATCATCTTCTTCCTGCTTATTTACATCGAGTTCAACGATTGAATTATCAGCCTTACGTTTAACTCCACGATTATCTTGAGTTTCATTATTTGATGAACTTCCAACAGGTTTAAGCATTGAATCTAAAGCAGTATTATTCATTGCCATTTTACTAATTCTTAAAATGTCTTCCTTAGCATTTACAATAGCATTAGGTCCTCTGCCTTGACCAACAGCTGTCGGTGCAAATTGTGTCTTATGAATCATATCAAAATTAGGTCTACGTTCCCTTTCCATCTTTTGTCTCTTATTCCTTGCCTTCATACGTTCCTCATTCTTTTGTCTGTCTCTAAAAATTTCATCTTCAACCTCACCCAAGTCTCTCATAATCATCTCAACACGTTCTAATGCAACATCACCAGAATCAGTTAAATAGCCTCCAGTCTTATAGACACACTTTTTGTACAAATGAATAAGTCGATCGATTGCATTCTCACGAATTTCAAGTGATGGTAGATGAGGTAAGAAATCATTACCGACGAAAAAGCACATAAAAACCCAATCATCAAGAACCCGCTCAAAATCATATTTAAATGGTAAATTAGGCATTACTAATTCCTTTTCTAAATATTCCTTCAAGACATTTAAACGAACAAAAATAAATTTTGTTTCCTTTCCAAATTCAATGTCTGGTGCTTGTGCATGATATTCCATATCTAATCCGGTACAGTCTTTCATTTCATGTCCAATTTGAGCACAAAGGTCGCAAGGACGTGGCTTATTAGGCAAGAACTCTTCACGAATGATTGTAAAGTTTGGTTCGTGAGTTGCAAGACCCAACATAATTAAATCAGCATCAGCGCCACATAAAACATGTTGAGTATTTGGATCATGATCAGGCTGTGCTCGTTGTTTACGGATATAATCCATAATCTTGTGTTCTCCTTCGCCAGGAACATTAGCATCACTTAAAATAACTTTAATATTTTTCCATCCTGGATCATTATTTAATCGGTCATGTACGTAATATTGTAAGCAGCGACTAAGTCGTTCCATAAATGGAGTTCCAGGTGTGATACAATTTGAGTCGAAATGCTGTTCTTTAGGCTTCTCAGGTGGTAAAATTGCTCCTTTTGCCTTGAGTTCTTCTCTTATTCGAGCAACTTCTGCTGTTTTTTCTGCAGCTTCCTTTGACGCTCTAAATCTTCTTGACCGTTGCTGATTCATCTTTGCTCTTGGTGCTACACCATCAATAGCCATGTACAATAACTTTCGTGGACGTACAATTGAAAATAGCCTGTCAATGCACTCAAAAATAGCAACCATCATCTCATTTTCGTCTTTTGGAGGTGGTTTATCTTCTGGATGTGTACAAGGATGAATTATACCATTCATGTCTAGATACAGGTTGTCGAATTCAATGTCATTTGGATTAGGTAGTGATGCATCTTCGTATACATTCTTTCCTGTCGTCTCATCAATTTTCTAAAATAATTTAATTAAATAATTATGAGAAGAAGCTTATTGACTGATGAAACGGATAATCCAGCCTAGTCTGTTTATTAAAACATTTATCAAGCACAGATTCGGGTAGAAAATGTTGTGCTGGATGTTTTGAAAAGGCATTTCGCGGAAAATTTTGTTTTTATGAAAATTATGAATTTACCTTTTGCTCTGTGCACTCGATAATAACACTAGGATATTTACGTGATAACCACCTGAAAAATGCTGGAACTCCCATTGTGATGCTCTGTCTACTTTCTTTATAGTTTAATTAAAAGATATTTTCAATTTAAACTCAAAACTTGTTGGGTGACCTCGATTTTAATAACTTCTAAAACCGTTAATATTCATAGTTTTCTTCCCTTCAAAATTTTTCAAATAAAATCAACCCGTTAAATTTAACACACCATGTAGACTTTAGAATAGCTTAATTAAGTTATTTGAGATGCTTACAAGAAAATAGATTATACAGTTGGGACTTCCACGCGACTGCATGAAAGCAATTTTAATTCATTAATTAATTTTGACTCGTCTCATACAGAATAATAATAATAATTTACATAAGATCTAGCTAAAGACCATCGAAAAGAGCGGAATTAAAATGATAAATAGTGATGTCATAAGAATTAATCCGATTGTTGAATACCAGCTAAAATAAGATGCATACTGAACTCGACAATACCAACAAAAAATGAGCGTTAATGTCACTAGGAAAATGCCAGCAATATTAAAATTATTAATGAGACTATTGTTGGTATCACTAGCTCCATTTCTGTTGCTTCCGTTTGCAATATTTGGATTTGCCGATGAAGCATTTATGTTGCTACTTTTCTTTTGAACAATCAAACAGTGAACTGTTGCTTCCGAAAATATGCCACATTGTTGGATGGATTTAGAATCGTCCTCTAATAGCTTCCCATTGAAGATCAATTTTATTAGTTTTGATTCCAGTTCTGTTTTAAAATTTCGTCTATGGAAAGTGAAAGAAATAAGTGAAAGTTAATGACTGTGACTGAATAAAGCGCATCCGCTGTCCATCTACTTTTTGATCCTCAAATTTACGTATTTTTATGTAAGTCTAATGACATTAAGTAAATTAGCTAGTTGTTGATAAAGGAAGACACAGACAATGTGCGGACTAAAGTATCATAGGGTTCAGGAAATATGCGTAAAAAAAGATTGACGAATGAATAAAATTTACACATATTTAAATGAACTTTATGTAGTTCAGTGAACTGTAAAAACCTGATTCTTATGCCGATTTTTCCTCCTTACCTTTTAAAATTTCCAACGCTCTCATTAAGAAAGCACTCGACTGTCTTGATTTCATCATTTAAATATTTCAATTTGATTGATATTTTGTCTTCTACTACTGTACTCTCGCTAATTCTTGTGGTGGACGTTGATGCTTCATTGTCACGTGTGATAGATCTTTGATGTCTATTCCTTAATTGCGGGTTTAAATCTCCATCCATTTCACGGATGATTCTCTCTTCTTCTGATAATTCATCTTCGGACAAATCATCGTCAGTTCTTCTTCCACCCAATAATGAATCATTACTGCTTCTGTTGTTTGCTATATTATTATTATATGTTTCAGATGCTTCTGTAAAGATATTTTGGGCAAGTTCTTCGACACTATTTGTCAGATTCTCTTCTATTGTAGACGTTGATATTGTGGATGCATTGGAAATAATCGATGCACTTCTGCGGACTATACATAAAATGTTTTGCAATGGATATAGAATCAAATATGGAAACTTAGAAGGACATTATTTTTTTGTTTAATTAAAAAATTAAAGTCACCTCCAAATGTATGCTGGATATTTTCAATTGGTTGGATTTCTCGCCTTACTTCCGTAGACTTCCATACAAAATAAATTATAAAGAATATAAAGGACATAAAAAGTATGTGGATCGACTGAAATTCTTCATTTTCGCCAAACATTTTTTTCTTTCTTTTTTGCGATGTTCACCAGAGTATTTCGTAACTTTCTCTTAATCTATGTATACTAATCGAATCAATTGATAAGCAGCTACCAATGATTGATTTCTGAGGATCTTAAAGTTGAAATTCTTTAAAATGACTACATAAACTAAATTTAATTAATTTTTTAAAAGCTAAATCGCAAAATATTTTCTTTAAGAATATTTTCTTCACAATCCATGGAAGTAATGCACGCTATAGCACATCCAATATTCAATTCTCTATGTCTGTGTGCTTCTCATATCGGCATAAAAGCATTGAGATTAGATTAGATTAAAAAATAAATCTTGCGATTAATTTAAATCTGAAGATCAAACTGATGGATTTAGACCAACAGATAATAAATTGAAGCTTAATTGGTTTAAAACATTTCAATTATCTACCTGCCAATTAAGTATGATTCACAGTTCATTTTAGTTCATAATTCCTTGTAAGTTGGAATCGTCATCAATTAATTTGAAAAGCCGGTAACTTTTTAAAATTAAAACAAGACAAAAAGGAGGTGTGGATATAACACCCATGTCTACCAAAAAAAAAGTATAAAGCCCATGTCACAGAAAGAAAAAAAAAATCGCCAGTTCTAAAGATTCGGAGAAAACCCATTCGTAGTATTATTAAGATTTTTCTGCATTATTTCATTATTATCTATTGGCTAAATATGTGAAAAAAACTTTTAAATTATAAAAACATGCATGGATAGACATAACGGTGAGTTAGAGTGAAAACATGTGGAAAAATGGTGAAAAACGAAATTGATTTTTTTCTTTTCCTTAGAATAAAAAATTAATTTTGAATAAACAACACTTAAAATGGATCAAAATGGCACATTAACTGATAGTGCTCTCTTAATTGAGATGCAAATGGAACTGGAAAATGTACAAAGTGTCATAAAATTCACAAAAAGGTACTTTTTCATGACTGTGAAAATTTTTTTCCTTAGTAAGAAAATTGTTTTTCCTTTTTTTCTAATCCTTTCGGAAAATGCAGCTCTATTGATGCTTTAAATGATAGATTTAGTAAATTTAAGCCATCACCAAAAATCTATGTTGAGGAATATCAGGACCTTACACGAAAATTACATGAATTTAAGACAATGGAACAAAATTTAGTCGAGAAAATACAATCATTAGAAGCAGAAGTAAGTTTTGGGCTGCAAATCATCCATTTTTGAATCATATAGTAATTTACAAAAAAAAAATTTTTTTACCAATTTCCTATTGTAGCTGGAAAGTAAAGCACATCCAAAGCAACCAAAATTATTTCTTAGAGCACATTTGCCAAATCAACAGCGTACAACAATCAATATTGTCGCTGGTCAGAGACTTCGTGATGCATTAGCAAAAGCACTAAGCCGTCGAAATATGAATTTTGAAATGTGTGAAGTCTATCAGCCGAATTCGGACATACCCATTCCATGGGACACAGACATTAGTACAATCAATTGTGATGAGATTAGTGTTAAAATATTGGACATTGTGGGATTTCCAACTTATATCTCGCATCAATTCATTCGCAAGACATTCTTCTCGCTTGCATTTTGTGAATGCTGTCGAAGACTTTTATTCACTGGATTTTATTGCAATCAGTGTAATTATAGATTTCATCAACGCTGTGCTGACAAAGTTCCGCCTTTATGCAGTAAATTACAAATGGACACTTACTATCAATTATTGCTCTCCGAGACCGCTGGATCTAGTGGATTCCATAGGTAGCTATAGTCATACTTGTCATAAATTATTGAAGACTATATCTATAAATTATTTCAGACATCCAAAAACATTAAACTTTGAGAACCGATCAAATTCAGCACCAAATGTTTGTGTCAATAGTGTCCTAAAAGGAGTCGATCAAAAGATTTTAGCGAATGCAAAGTGTCCAATGCCTTTGCAGCCATACTCTGAACATTCACATTCCACTCAAGCATCGCCAACAAATACATTGAAGCATGCCAAAAGAAGACAACGTGCTCGATCAGCTGATGAGAGCAATAAAATCTTGTCACCACGCGAACAGATGCAGTCAGCCGGTGAGGACTGGAATATTGATGCAAGTGAGATTCTCTTGGGTCCTCGTATTGGAACTGGATCATTTGGAACTGTTTATAAAGGTTAATAATAATCAGTCACGAGAAACTTTAATTAAAACTTATAAAAATAATTAATTTGCAGCTCACTGGCACGGACCGATAGCAGTGAAAACTTTAAATGTGAAAACTCCAACGCCAGCTCAATTGCAAGCGTTCAAGAATGAGGTAGCAATGCTAAAGAAGACTCGTCACTGCAATATTCTGTTATTTATGGGATGCGTGAGTAAACCGTCTCTAGCGATTGTTACTCAGTGGTGTGAAGGAAGCAGTCTTTATAAACATATTCATGTACTTGAAACAAAGTTTAAACTGAATACACTTATCGACATAGCACGTCAGGTAGCACAGGGAATGGATTATTTACATGCCAAAAATATTATTCATCGTGATTTAAAATCAAATAATATTTTCTTACATGATGATCTCACAGTTAAAATGTATGTATCATATTTGGGCTAGGGACGTTGGATATAGTAATAAATTTATATCATATTAATTTTAGTGGTGATTTCGGTCTGGCAACAGCCAAGGTTCAATGGTCTGGAGCAACAGGACAGAATCAACCAACAGGATCCATCTTATGGTAAATTATTACAATTTATTTGTCAATTGGATCCAATTAATAATGATATTTTAGGATGGCACCGGAAATAATTCGCATGGAAGAACCGAATCCATATTCCTTTCAATCAGATGTCTATTCATTTGGCGTTGTACTTTATGAACTTTTAACTGAACAATTACCATATGCACACATTAATAATAAAGATCAGATTTTGTATTTAGTTGGTCGTGGACTTTTGAGACCAGATTTGTCAAAAGGACGCTCAGATTGTCCACAAGCACTAAAACGTTGCGCGGAAGACTGTATCAAGTTTGATAGATGTGAAAGACCATTGTTTCGATTATTACTCAACATGTTGGAGAATATTTTGAGGACATTACCAAAAATTCATCGAAGTGCAAGTGAACCGAATTTGACACAATCGCAATTACAGAATGATGACTTTCTATTTATGTGCTCTAGTCCTAAAACCCCCGTTGGAACGGGATTTACAATATTTAGATAAGCTGATTAATTTTTCCTACTATTCATTAATTTTCATAAAAAGAAAAATAAGTAAAAAAATGATAAATTAAATTTAAAAAAAATCTTGCATACATACATCATCCTACATACAGCTTTCATCAACATTAATTATTTATTAATTGACATTTTCATATTCTTTCACATCATATCTAAAATTATTAAAATTGATTCGAAACAATGCAGGAAAAATTAATCTAAAATTTTATCAGGACTTAAAATCATGGAAAAGCATAGCTTCATTACTTCTAGTTTTCTTATTCAATGTACAACACATACACAAAACACTTTAGCTGATATATTAAACTCCTGTAATTGAACAAAAGTATTTGATTTTCAATTCTAAGTTTTCACTTTTCTCCTCATTTCTGTAAATACGGGAAAATTCACTCACACACACACATAGACAAACACAAACACTCATCAATGAAAATGAATACATAATTTATGCCTCATAATTTACTTAATATAAAAGGCAAATCAAATGTAAATAAAAACAATTATCGTTATTATCTAAAAAATATAGATTTTTATTTAAATTCGGTAATTCTTGATCTTTAGGTTCTTATTTTAAGGATGTATTGATCCCTATAGCTGCCATATGTGTATACTAATTTAAAACTTATCTGTGTGTTTACTAGCTGTACTTATCTCACTTCGGCTGTCCGTGCACATATTACCAGTTCAACGCGAGCCTAATGCTCAAGCCTATCTACAACACATATGCTCTTCGAACCATATCCACAATTGATAAAGAAAGGAATAAAAAATTTCTTGCAACATATTAATTGCAAGATTTAATCTTAATCCAAATAATTAGCATTATTAAACTTTTTATTCAATATTTTGCTGACTCTTAATATTGCATGCAGTCATTTCATATTTAATATGGAAAACTTTCACACGTCTATTCAACCATTCTGTGCCTTTGGTAATATTTTAGGATTATTTCCTATATCATATGAAGGTTCAGTTCATGATGGAAAGCTAAAATATACGAAATATTTGCTAATTATAATGTTAATAACATTTTGTGTTCTATTAATAATGATAAGTGCTAATTTTATACATTTATTTGTGATTTGAATACCAATGAAAGATTCAAACTTTTTCGACTATTTAATCTGGTCATTCGTATTGATTATTAGTATTTTGCTTATTTTATTGCAATTTATTACCCAAATATTTAAAAATTAAGCATATAAAAAAGTTCATGAACTTTATGCAGCATTCTGATGAAAAATTAAAATGTCTATATATCAGCATAAACTACACAAAGGAAAAGAAAGTTATAAAAACTTTAATAATGTTTGTCGTGTGTTCCGATAAATTGAAACTTTAGTTTTTTACATTACTTTTGATTTATTGAAAGTTCACGATATAATCCAAGAATTTAACTATGCTTATAATCTGTGTTATACGAATTACTTTGTAATTCAATTTATAGTTCCCACGAGGATCGTTCTTCAACGATTTAAGGCTTTGAAAGGCTATATCGGGTAGGTTTTGCAAGTTTAAAAAAATTCTTGAATTGTCAAAAATTATTTTTATTTCAGCAAGCAAAGATTTGTGAACCAAATCAATTTAAGGATCTTTAGCGAATCATTTTATAATTAATGCGATGCTTTAGAATCGATAAATGCAATTTTTGTTCCTAATATAATCATAATAATGTTGGATATTCTAATTATTATTATTTTTCAATTATATGCTTTGGTTCGATATTTAATTTTAAATGCAAAATCGTCCGGAATGAAAATTGCTACAAATTCATACTATTTGATAATGAATATTTTACTTATCTGCTTAATTGCTCATACTGGACATTGCACAACATCTCATGCCGAAAGTATTTTAACGATAATTGCGAAGAATGTTAGCAAACTGCCATCACAGAGTGCGATAGCGACAGAATACTATAATTTATTGAGGCAATTTCGATCGAGAAACTTGAAATTGCAAAATGTATTTTTTGGAATCAACTGGAATATAGTCATTGCTGTAAATTTATTATTAAGCAATTTTCATTTTTAAATTTCTGATCGTGCATTAAATTAATTCGTAGGGAACATCAACTATAGTTACATATCTTCTAATAACGTAAATAATGTATTTTTATAGCCAATATTGTCATCCAACTTTGAAAAAAATCAAAAACTTTTTCAGTTGCCAGTTTCAATCGCTATCCACAAACTAATCGAGTAACATTCAAACAGTGAAATAAGCAATGAACAACTACTTTACATCCATTCAACCGTTTTATAGATTGGCAAAATTTTTCGGACTCTTTCCGATGAGTTATAAAGGACCAGTTAGACGAGGAATTCTAAAGTTTACCATTTGTGGCTTTATAAGAACACTACTAGCCTTTTTGCTTCTATTTGTAATGCTTTTTTTCATCTTTATAAACCACATCATGCTGCTTATGGAACAACGCCCTTTTCTGATTAATACGGTGTGGTCTTGGTTTCTCATCTTAATTTATCCAGTCATAATATTTCAACTAATTCTTCAAGCTATAAAAATGAAGAAAATCAGAAGCTTTTTCCTATTCATGAACGAAATTGACTACAAACTTGAGCAATTGCAAGTTGAAGTCGATCATAAGAAACATCGAAGATACATCTCTTATAATCTTACTTTCTTAGTTGGAATAATGATCATTAGATTCATATTACAAGGATATGCTTTAGTAAAGAATGGATCGCAGTATCGAACAAGAGCTAGTATTGTAGTTCAGGAAATTTGCTATTTGTGGTTTATATTTTACTATTGTCTTTTGTCTTTACAATTTGTTTTTATCACCTACTTACTTCGTGAGAGGTTCAGAGCACTGAAGGATTTACTAAGGTAACATTTTTATAGCTAATATTTCATACTTTTAACCATAAACTTGTTCATTTACAGACACGAAAACTTAAACGAAAAATTTTTTAAAATAAAATTATTTGAGGAAGTTTTTCATGACTTGTGTGATGCTTTGGAACTTATTAACAATTTGATAACGTTACAATTATTACCAATCTTATTGACAATGCTTGTGATTGATATTTTTGGAATGTACAATATTTTTAAAATATTAATTTTTGCTGGAAATGTTTCTGCAAATTACAATATTGCATTCTACATCATTTTCCAATTCATTTTGAGAGTTTTTATTGCAAATATTGGAAGCTCAACAACAAACGAACCACAAAATTTAATTGAAAATATTGCAAAGCTTATCAATAGGCTACCATCTAATAACTTATTGCGTATGTGCTTATTTAACTCCATGAAGCAATTTCAAACCAGAAATTTTAATCTTCAAACTTTATTTCTCACAATCAATTGGAATATTGTACTTAGTGTAAGTGCAAATACATTACCTGATTGATTAATAATTCATAAAGGTGCATTATTTCCAGACCACATCAACAACCGTGACATATCTAATTATTTTGTAAGTTGCTTATCAAAATTTGCATTTGAGATTTTTATCAACTACGTATTACTTAATTTCAGATGCCAGTTCCAATCACCATTAGGGAATTAAGTTATAAAGTTACCAATATGATGCTTTGTGTACATTTCCGTAATTAAAATTTATTGATCACTCTCGTCCTTAATTTTCAAAATGTAATTTTGATAGTTAATGATTTAAGCAAATTAATTTAATTAATGCTGGTTGGAAACTTTAAATTTTATTTTAATATTCTCTGTTCCATGTACACAACAAGTCTGTGTTTATAAAGTCATGGAAAACTATTTCACATCAATCGAGCCATTTTATAGAGTTGCAAAAATTTTTGGACTCTTTCCAATAAATTTTGAAGAACCTGTCAGAAAAGGGAACTTAAATTTTACAAAAATCAGCATAGTGAGAACAATTGGAACTTTTGCTTTGCTAATAGCTATGAACTGCATGATTATCCATAATCATATCACATATCAATCGGAAAATCAGCCATTTCTTAGCTTAATGGTTTGGTCATGGTTTTTGATTCTCGTATATCCAATAATTATAATTCAGTTGATCGTCCAAGTTTACAAAATTAAGGATATCCGGAAGTTTCTTCATTTCATGCATCAAATTGATCTAAAATTTCGGCAATTAAATATTCAAATTAATCATAAAGTATGTCATAAAAAGATATTTTACATCACTATGTTTGCAATTGGAACTATGCTGATTAGATTCTTAGCGTCTACAATCTATGCATTCAAAAAGAAAACTTTCGTATTTACACAAGGAAACATGATCATCCAAGAAATTTGTTACCTCTGCTTTCTGTTTTATCAATGCTTCTTTACTCTTCAATTTATAATTCCTACTTATTTGGTTAAGAAGCGATTTGAGGCATTAAAAGATCTTTTGAGGTAAAATTATTATTTTTTTATTAGAATTAAAATCAAATAAGTTTTATTCTCTCAAGATACGAAAGATTCAATGAACAATATCTAAATCTTCAACTTTATGCTAAAACATTCCACGATCTATGTGACGCAATAGAAAGCATTAATAATTTGTTTGCATTTCATTTGGTTCCAATTTTGTTAACAATGCTTATCGTTAATGTTTTTGGAATGTACAGTATTTTTAAATATTTATCAACACCCGGAACGACTTCATTGTATCTTGCTACTGCATACGTCGTTTCAATGCATTTAATATTGATGATTTTGACTGCACATATCGGAAGTACGACATCCCGAGAACCTGAAAAGTTGATTGAAATGATTGCAAAACTCATTAATGATTTGTCTTTAAATCATCCTTCAAGATTTGTTCTGTACAATTACGTAAAGCAGTTCCAGACAAGAAATTTTAACTTTCAAGCTCTGTTTCTGACTATTAATTGGAATTTTGTGCTTGGCGTAAGTTTCAATGCATTGATTATTGATAATGACTAAAAGATTTTCATTACTTTCAGACTACTTCAACAACCGTGACTTATTTGATCATTATGTAATTAACTTTCAGGTTTTTTAAATTCTGAAAATATTATTGGGTATGTTTAATTTCAGATGCCAGTTTCAATCACCATTAGTTAATTAATAAATTAATACTTACAACATTTTGAACTTAAATGTGACAAGATCCTATAAAATTCATTAGAATCTCATCATAAATTGCTTTTAATGTTAATGCTTAGAGTTAGAGATAATAAATTTAATAAAATAAATGTTTAAGTGTCAGCATAAATCAAAGATAAGCATCCTTAATGTCATTTAAAAACCATTAAATTTTCTGAGTACTTTTAAAATAATCAACTTTTTATAGATCTTTCATGCTCGTTATTCTAATTGAGTTTGAACTGATCATTTAGTATTTCTTGTTTAAGTAGAATCCAGCATAAAACAATGGATAACTACTTTACATCAATTGAACAATTTTGTAAAATCGCAAAAATTGTTGGCCTATTTCCAATGGATTTCGTAAAGCCAATTAGGAATGGAAATTTAAAGTTCACAAAAGTCAACACATTAAGAACAATTGGTACTTTGGTATTTCTACTAACTATGAACTGCATGATAATCCACAATCATATTACATATCAATTGGAAAGTAAACCATTTTTGAGTTTTATGGTTTGGTCGTGGTTCCTTATTCTTGTGTATCCAATAATTATAATACAATTGATCCTGCAAGTAATCAATATGAGGCGCATAAAAAAATTTCATCATTTTATTCATAGAATTGACCAAAAATGTCAAAGATTATTTATCAAAATTGAGCATAAAAGATATCGAAAAATAACATTCTATATTACAGGCTTTGTAATTAGCAACATGCTTTTAAGATTTGCAGCATCAACAATTTATGCAATTATGAAAAAATATTTCATTTACACTGAAGGAAATCTGGTGATTCAAGAGATTTGCTATGTGTGCTTTTTCTTCTACGAATGCTTCTTTACCCTTCAATTTATTTTTCCAACTTACCTGATCAGGGAGCGTTTTAAAGGATTGAAGGATCTTTTAAGGTTAGTTATTCAAGCTAGAAAAATAACATAAAGTAATTTAATTATTTCAGATACGATCGATACAACGAGAACTACATTAATTTACAGCTCTTTGCCGAAACATTTCATGATCTTTGCAATGCAATAGAAAAAATCAATGACTTGTTTGCTTTTCACTTGATTCCTATTTTATTAACAATGCTTATCGTGGATGTGCTTGGATTTTATAATATGTTCAGGAATTTAAATGAACAGATAAATGTTTTAGCTAATTTCGTGGTGCTTTATTATGTCATAATGCATTTATTATTAAGAGTTTCTATTGCATATATTGGAAGTACAACAACACGAGAGCCAGAAAAGCTGATTGAGATGATAGCAATCCTTATTAATAAATTATCATCGAATCATCCAACAAGATTTATTTTGTACAGTTATATGAAGCAGTTTCAGACAAGAAGCTTTAAGCTTCAAACATTTTTTCTTACAATCAATTGGAACATTGTGCTTAGTGTAGAGTATTAATATAAAGATTAATTTTAAAGATTAAATAGATTGTTTAATTGCAGGCCACATCAACGGCTGTGACTTATTTAATCATCATGTTAGTATCTTATTGGATCTAGAAAGTTCTATAAATTAATTTAATATTTGATTTCAGCTGTCAATTCAGTTCGCCATTAGTAAATTAAATTATCATATCAGTTTGCATTTAAATCTTGCCACAACATGCAGAACTTTTACACCTCAATTGAGCCTCTATGTACTTATTTAAGAATTTTTGGATTTTTTCCAAAAACGTTCATTAAACCAACATGCAAAGGACTGCTAAAGAAAACACGATTCAGCATAATTCAAACAGGATTTGGAGTTGGATTGCTGATTTTTCTATCTTTTGGAAATTTGCTTCACTATTATGCATATGAAGTTTATGAGAAGAATTTCTTGAGCTACTCGATTTGGTCATGGATCTTTATTTTTGCTAATGCTTTGTTTACTTTGGAATGCATCTATCAACTTTATAAAGTCAATGCGATAACAAAATTCTTTCAACTTATGTACTTAATTGATGTGAAAATTCAAAGAATGGGGAAATTAATTGATTACAACAAACATCGAAAAATTGTCAGGAATGTCACTTTAACAGTTTTGTCCTTGATGTTTGCTAGAATTCTTTTAATCTTGACTTTTTATAAATTTAAGTTTTTCAACTCTGAAATACTGTTAGCGGAAATATTGTACTGTTTTCTGATGAGTTATGAGTGCTTATTTTCCTTGCAATTTATAATTCTTGCATATCTTTTAAGAGAAAGATTTCGATTGCTGAAGATCATCTTAAGGTTTTTATTTCTCTATCATTTATACTTTTATTGACTCTTTTCATTTATAGAACAAATCTTTTGGGGAAAAAAATATTCAACTTATATCTATTTGCTGACATTTTTCATGATCTGTCTGATGCAGTTGATGCAATAAACATACTTTTTACGTTACATCTAATCCCTACAATGCTTACAATGCTTGCTATTAACATACTTGGAATTTATGCAGTCACAAAATCTTCGTTTGCAAATGCTACAATTACAGACATAATTTTTTCACTATTTTATGTCACTGTGCATTTGATACTGATGACATTGATTTGTCATTTTGGATCATCAACAACTTATGAAGCTGATAGTATCAAAATTACATTCGCTAAAGGAATGAATAAGATTCATTTATTATCTGAAAAATCTTCTATGCTTTATGTTTACAAGCAGATAGAGTCGAGAGACTTGAGGCTTCAGAATGTATCATTTGTTGTGGATTGGAAAGTGTTTTTCGGGGTAAGTTGGACAATTTTGAGTTTTGAACCAAATCATCTTATAACATTTCAAAAAATAAATGCTTTAACTTAGACGATATACACCGTAGTCACCTTCTTGATAATCACGTGAGAAATTTAAACATTAATGAGAATATTAAGCATGAATGATAAAATCGATTTTCATTTTAATTATAATTTAGGTGTCAATTTCAATCGCCATTGCGCTAGTTTGTTTGCACAAGAATAATCAATTAATTATAATGTAGAATTTGTTCGGTTTTTAATTAAATTGAAGCTGTATTGACTTCAATCAGGATTGACTTCTTTTTTGATCAAAAGTTATTAATTTAGTTCGGGAATTTGATAAAGCTACAATTATTAAAAGTGCTGACATGAGAGATAAAAATATGGAGAACTTCTACACTTCAATTGAACCTTTGTGTACATTTCTGAGATTCTTGGGATTTTTACCAAGAAATTTCATTAATCCAGCATGCAAAGGACAATTGAAAAAGACGAGATTTAGCATAATTCAAACTGGATTTGGTGTTAACTTGCTGCTTTTATTATCGATTGGAAATATGGTTCACTATTTTGTATATGAAGTTTATAAAATGGATTTGCTGATTTATTCAATTTGGTCATGGATCCTTTTCTTTGCAAATTTATCATTTACTATTGAATGCATCTATCAACTCTATAAGGCTGATTCTATAACAACATTTTTCAAACTTATGCAAACTATTGATTTAAAAATTATACAGATGGAAGTGTCGATTGAACACAGAGATCATCGAAAAATCGTCAGGAATGTTATTTTGATTACTGTGTTGCTGATGTTTGCTCGAATTCCTTTAATTGTGATTTTTTATGGATATGTATTTGAGTTTTATACTCGTCAAGTTTTGATATCGGAAGTGTTTTACAGTTTTTTGCTGATTTATGAGTGCTTATTCTGCTTACAATTTATAATTCCAACATACTTACTAAGAGAAAGGTTCAAATTATTGAAAGACATCTTAAGGTTTACTTTATACTCATAAATCTAAGTTTCTACTGATTTTTGTTTTTCTTTTAACAGATCTAACTTTCTGGAACGAAAAACCTTCAACTTGAATCTTTTTACTGAAATTTTTCATGATCTGTCTGATGCTCTAGACACCATCAACTCATTATTTACACCTCATCTCTTTCCAACAATTCTTTTAATGCTTTTAATTGATATTTTTGGAATTTATGGAGTTACTAAATTTTCATTTACAACTGCGAAATTTACAGACATATTTCTTTCGCTTTTTTATATCATTGTGCACTTCATACTGAAGATAATGATTTGTCATATTGGATATTCAACAACAAATGAAGCTGAGAATATTAAAATCACATTTGTTAAAGGAATGAATAAGATAAATTTGTCAACTGAAGAATCTTCTCTAGTTTTTGTTTACAATCAGATTGAAGCTAGAGACTTGCGACTTCAGAATATATTTTTCGTTGTTGATTGGAAGATGTTGTTTGGGGTAAGTTGCTATTTTTCATTCAGATTATTTAAATAAATTTTTAACATCTGATTACTAATATAGACAACATACACCATAGTCACCTTCCTGGTCATCACGTAAGTTATTAATCATCATATTTTAGACTAGTTAAAAATATCGATTTAATTTTAATTATTTACTAGGTGTCAATTTCAATCACCGTTGCACTAGTCTATTAATTAAAGAAAAGTGTCCATTTTTAAATTAATTAATTATCTTGTGGAACAGTTGCTGCTACTGAGCATTTAATAAATTAGATAAATATAAAATAAAGCTTGATCGGTTAACAGTGTTGACATTAGCAATAAAATATGGAGAATTTCGATACTTCAATTAAACCTTTCTGTATATTTTTGAGATTTCTAGAGTTTTTTTCCTAGAACTTTTCCTAAACCATCATATAAAGGTCAGTTGGAAATGACAAAGCTTTCTGTTTTTCAAATTTTTTACTATCTATATATATTATGGATTTATGAGTGCTTATTCTGCTAATAGTTCAGAATTCCAACATATTCGGTGAGAGAAAGGTTTAAAGGACATTTCAGACAATATGCTCTATAGTCACCTTTCTAATTATCACGTAAGCTTCATAATTTTAATGCTACATATTTGAATGCTAAATTACATAATTATAATTACAATTCGGGTGTCAATTTCAATCACCATAACGTTAGTATGCAGCAAGTGTGTAGAATTAATGACTACGGAAAAGTCAATAATGATAGTAATGGATGTTCAATAACTGTTTTTAGAGTAAATTTAGTTGATGAATAAAATTGAAGCTTTCAGCACCAAATGCCAGTTTTTGTGAATTTTCACTAGACTAAGAAGGTTTAAAGTTTTTGTGGATGTTTATTTAATGCTAAATCTTACTAGCGAGCAACGACTTCTTATTATCAATCAGGAAATAAATTAGCATTATTAATTATATTTCCATCGTCTATTAAGTCTCACAAAGCTTCGTAGAGAAAACAAGAAAATCAAAGAGTATGGAAAATTGCTATGCAGAAATCGAACCATTCTGGAAAATCTCGAAAAACTTTGGATTATTTCCGATGAGTTTTGAAGGACCTATCGGGAAAGGGAGCCTTAAATTTACAAAATTAAGCATATTAAGAACAGCAATAGCATTTGGATCACTACTTTGTATGATAGGAATGATTATTTTTAATCATTTTGTGTACCAATCAGTTGATCAGTCCTTCTTTGAGTCTCAGATTTGGTCGTGGTTCCTGCTTATAGCATTTCCGTTTTTAATAGCTCAATTAATTTATCAAATTTATCAGACAAATGAGACAAAGGATTTTATTCATTTTATGGGTCAAATCGATCAAAAGTTTCATGGACTGTTCATTAAAATTGAGCATAAAAAGAATCGAAACTTTATCCTATATGTCACAGTCACGATTTTTGGTGTGATTCTATTCAGATTTTTTGCTTCACTCATTTGGTTCTCTATTAGTGGTGGATATTATACAACAGGTGGCAAGATGTTGACACAGGAGACTGGATATACAGTAGTTTTATTTTTTGAGTGCTATTTCTCACTCAAATTTATTTTCCCAACATTTCAAATCCGGGAAAGATTTATTTCATTAAGAAATTTACTAAGGTAATCCCTGTCTTAATATTTTGATTGATTTTATCAATAAATTCATAGCTTCCTTACATACTCTAGACACGAAACATTCGATGAGAAAATGCTCAACTTGAAGCTTTTCGCAGAAACTTTTCATGATTTATGTGATGGACTTAGAATGATTAATAATCTATTCGCCATTCATTTGGTTTCAACGCTATTAGCTATGCTTGTTGTTGACGTGTTTGGAATGTACAGCATTTTTAGATTCTTCTCATCTTCCAATGGAGATGCTGTTTCCAATGCAATTATTTTATTTTACATCTTAATACATTTTATATTGAGAGTATTTATCGCACATATTGGAAGTACAACAACGTCAGAACCTGAAATGTTGATTGAGATGATTGCAAAGCTTATTAATAAATTATCATCGAATCATCCAACGAGATTTATTTTGTACACTTACATGAAGCAATTCCAGACGAGGAACTTTAAGCTTCAAACCTTATTTCTCACAATCAATTGGAACATGATGCTTGGTGTAAGATTTAATTGATTAGTCTGCTTGATACTTTATTTTTTTATTATCATTTTCAGACAACATCAACAACTGTGACTTATCTGATTATTATGTGAGTAATTTGCTGTATTTTATGTGATTTAATAGTTTAGTAATCTTGAACTTAATTTTAGTTGTCAGTTTCAATCACCTGGAAACAATTAATGGTTTTGTCTATTTTGGCTGTATTGGAGTTTGTCTGGGTCAAATAAATGTGTCTAGGAATTTTTCTTAATTCTCTTACACCTTGAAGGACGCTCAACCTGGTTCACAAATTAAATTTAATAAAAAAATTAAAAACATTTCTAATCAGCAAATGAACTCATTTATATTAATTACACCTTCTAGACTTTTAATGGAATATCAAGTTAATGGATGGTAAGAAATTATGCAAATTGCTGTGTCCTCTGTGTGTTTCCAATTGCAGATAATGAGTAACTTTAGTTTATATCGAGTATTACTGTAAAACATTAAAGTTCAACATGGAAAATTTCTATACATCCATTGAACCATTTTATAAAGTCACAAAAATTTTTGGACTTTTTCCAATGAGCTTTATAAAACTTGTTAGTAAAGGAAATTTGAGGTTTACTCGGTTAAGTTTACTGAGAATGTCAATGACAGCTGCATGCTTTATTTTGATGATCTGCTTTATTTTCTACAATCATATCACTTTTATAAATGAACAACAACCGTTCCTTGATATGACAATTTGGTCATGGTTTCTGATCTTTATTTATCCTTTAATTGTGGCACAGCTAATTTTTCAAGTACTTAAAATGAAAGATATCCGAAAGTTTCTTAAATTTATGGATGAGATTGACAAAAAGTTGAAAAAATTGTCCATTAAAGTCGATCATAAACGCCATCGAAGATTAATTATTAGAACAACTTTTATTTTAATGCTGATTCTGTCTTTAAAATTTACAGCATCAATAGTAGTCACAAAGGTTTTCTGGACGACTACTCTACAAATGGAAATAGATTTTCACATGAAGTCTGTTTCTTATTTTTCTTATTCTATGAAAGCTTTTTTGCCCTTCAATTTGTTTTCCTGACTTATTTACTTCGCGAACGTTTCAGTGCACTGAAAAAAATGTTAAGGTAAGCATGCATAACTTGCAAAATTAACAAATAAATTTGATTTATTTCAGATACGAAACTTTTATTGGAAGTTTTGTTAACTTTAAGCTTTTCGCTGAAATATTTCATGATCTATGCGATGGGATTTAGAAAATCAACAATTTGTTTGCCATTCACTTAGTTCCGATTTTATTAGCAATGTTGATTGTGGATATTTTTGGAATGTTTGGAATATTTAAATATATTTATGTCTTTCGAAATGGACTTGATGTTTTTTCAAGTATTGTAATAATTTACTACATAGTCAAGCATTACATTTTAAGAGCTGTAATTGCACATATTGGAAGAACTGCATCCAATGAGCCGAAAGTGTTGATTGAGATGATTGCAAAACTCATCAATAACTTATCATTTAATCATGCAACAGCATTGATTCTTCGTAATTACTTAATAGAGTTTCAATCAAGAAATTTTATAATAAAAACTTTGTTCCTTACAATCAACTGGAATA